TCTCATTTCACATCTACACTTTTTAGTTCCAGTTTTAGAACACTGTTTACTTGGGTGAACAATAGACTTTTTGCTTCTTAAATCATAACTATTACTATAATCACAATCATACAAAACGCAATATGGTTTAGAACTTCGAATACGGAAAGCATATCCATTCGTACAGGCATGCGATTGAATTGCAGCAAAAAGAGTGGAAATGTCAGTATAAACAGCTTCTGGGGGTGGAGGGCCACAGGGAGAAGGCTTAGGAGTTGCCATTGCACGTTACTATTAAAGCTTCAATATAATATGAGAACGATAACTATGACAATAATGATTGCAAGTACAGTGGGAGAGAGACAATCATAATTGCGGTGAGTGGAACATTGGAGGGCTCACAGTGTCTTACTAAATTGGGTGTAGTCGCATGGTCCGTGTATGCCGGTATCGGTTGTTGCGTGTCGATTTAATGAGTCTCGGTGTCGATTTAGTTGGGGCCTATTAATATTCACTGTTTGCTTGCCAAGGCCGTCTTCAACCATCTGAGATAAATATACGGGAAGCAATCACGGCAGTTATTCCAAGTATGTGGTTGGTTGAATAGATGAGGTTAGGATATTTCGCAGCAGTTCCAGATATCGACACTAACTTACCGGTAGATTGGCTCTCCTACTTCGTGAGAGATCTGCCCCATGGGGTAGCAGGGATTATTCAGGGGCCGGCTATCAACGGTCGACGGAGTAGTGGATAAAGCCGGAGGAGGCACCCGTTCAAAATCACCTTCTCAATTTATCCCAAGGACAACAAATAGGAGTCAAGGAAGGTGTTGCGCAAGATTATCAAAGTTTCCCAAAGAGCATAGCAATGTCATAGAGTATTATAACTTATAGTAGCTTTTAATGGTTTGATGTTCTACGTATTTCCGCCATGCTACTCGATAGCTTCCGTCGAATGTCACTTCACTTAGACTGGGGCTTTCCACTTTCTTGAATAAACCGCAATTAGTAGCTATACCATGATTGAGACGGGGTCACGCCTATGGAATCATTCCGCCTTTGAATATATGCCGCATAAAGCCTTAAAAATCCTGTAGATGCTTCGGTTAGATCGAAGGAAGATATCTCCAAATGATAAGGAGATACTATACTCCTTAGCTAGACGCAGAGCTCTTCCATATAGGATTATAAAAGTGCTTAGATTGAAGCTTACAAAACATTTGATACTATTTAATAATAGCTGAAAAGAGATTAAGGATATTTTAATTTTGTAATAAATATGTGTTCCGGCCCAAGAGCTAATATAGCCAAATAATCGGTGGGGAATACGGAGCTAACTCGTTGTTGCCAAACAGGCCCTGACTTGCAATAAACTATTCTATAGTATATTGGGCCGACCTTTGCTTTTTAAGTGGATATAACCGAGAATACTTGGTAAAGTAATCCTTGATATGTAATATCCACTTATATTGGCCGGAAGGTTCATGCCTCATATCAATCAAATCCACTTGAACACGCTCCCAAGCTCCCTGAGATATGATTAGCTCCTGTGGAGCTTTGTTGAAGTTGGCCGATTGACAGAACAATTTTTGCACAATTTGAGGACAAATTCAGCTTCATCACGCTTGATTCCATAATATTGTTGTTCAATAGCTGACCATACTTCATTCCTGCCAGCATAACAAAGTTTAAGGTGTTCTGTTGCAATACAACCAAATAGTTCAGTATCTTGAACTACGTATCTTGGCTTTTGGTGCTATGAATCAGGCTTGAAATGAAGTTTGTAATTGATAAGCTCGAAGGATTCGACTCTTTGCTTAATATTTGAGTCACTTCGATTCTCCGGCTTCAAGTTTGGTTTGTCGACGAAGGTCATAATCCGTTGCCAATGCTCTGGTTGAATAGCTCTACGTTTAATATAACTATCACAGTAGATATATTACTGAAAAGCATCATGGACTTCTTGAGGGAAAGAGTTAATTGCTTCAATAGACGCCATCTTGATCAAAATATTATGTCGAAAACGCACAAATGTGACGTGTTGTTGAAAGGCTATATTCAAATCGCTCCACCGCTGTATGCTGTATTGGCCTATAGGCCGGCTGGTAGGCAATGTAGAATATTGGGCTATCGACCGCCGACTGGTTAATGCACTTGGGGATGGCAGTGGATTCCGAATGGACCATAAATATTGAAATTATTAAAGCCGAAGGTGATTTATTCTAATCTTTAGTTATACTCAAAGGAAGTGACCTCTAATCAACGTGCGGTATGAACCGTAGTATTGTAACAAGTATCTCTCGGGTTATTCAACAACATAATTACGGTTAATATCTTAAAGAATAGCTAATTAACACTTAATCACCGACAAGAGTCTCCAGGAGTCTCTTCCTGCCTCGGCCGCAGTTTACCGCCCTTTTCCAGCCGCGCCAATTCCGGCGCCTGCCGTTCTTATCCTCCAGCTAACTCTAATCCTCTGTACTTCATCATCTGTTGCCTCTAACCCACAGCATTTGCAGCGGTATGGATAGACCTCGACAACGCATTCGAAGTTTCGCAAGAATTCTAACGAACCTACAAGGCCTGTGTTTCTTGGCAGAATAGGAAGGCCAGGTGTGTCTTGGGTCCGGAAGACCATCCCCCCTATGCTAGATGTCGTCGAAAATACCGAGAATGTGTTTAGTGATGATGAATGCAGGGAATCCCGTCCCAAGAGTAAGAATGAACTTCTTCTATTCACTGATGGGACGGAATCTAGGGATGAGGATGTGAAAAGTTCAAGCTAATGTGCTTGGCTACTGCGTTAGACGGCTCACCCGCTCGTAATATGCTGACAACTTCACATCTGGGCACGGAATTCAGTTAATCGAATATGGGTATTCCAAATAATTCGGGAGGTGAAGCGGCTTTATCAATCGTTGAGTAACGGGCTTCCAGACGGAACAGCCACCACTAAGATGATGTTCACTCTAACAGACATCCAGCGCGTTGTTGCTTATCGTTTGGCGCCTTTGTTTTAAGGCAAGTGCCTAAGGGGATGTGCATGCCGGCAGGAGCCAGAGGTCGGGAATCTGAACCCGATATACTAGCCACTCCTCCCTTCTATTATTTAACGGCTACTTATGATCTTTTTAAAGCTAAGGGGATTGATCAATTGCAACGTACGCCTTGTCTCTGCGCATCTCAGAGGTCTTGTCCCCTCCTAACTGAAAGGCCATCTACTGTAACAGACGTCCGCGCTTTGATAGAAGTCCAGAACTTTCTGCGTCTAACCGTGACGGTGGCGTTAACCAGGTACCGGCATCTAACCCCGAAAACTGGCAGCATCGCTCTCCATTCTCTACCTCAGGTCTGACTAACCCAGTGATGCGGACAATAGTTTCGAGTGGAAATGATGCCCTAAGCATCTTACTTGAAGCTGCTTCGATAGAAGAGAACCAGGCTTGTAAAGGGGTGAAAATTTTGCTAATGAGGGTTTGGCGTCGGCTTGCGATACCGGTAGTTGCGGAGCCGGAGCGCCCGCGGGGCCAACCCGTGGAGTGCCTTTAGCTCAGGCCTTATTAAACAACCAGAAACGGTATATGCTCTGATAGAAAGTTCCTTAGAAAGGTCGAGCTATAGTACAGCTAGATTAGTGTAAAAGAGGCTAAAAGACGTCAGGTCACACTCTAGGCCATGAGGATTGAAAAGAAGAATAGTATAAGTCATACAAATCGAGAAATATCACTGCATCCTTTGCTGTAAGTTAGCCTGTAGTAACAAACCGACAAGAAGACCAAACCATAAGTACTTCGGGACCGGGTAGGGGGAGATCCTGCTGGAGAGTCGTGATCGTACTCGTACCTACAGTGGAAGCGACCTTAACAAAATAAACACCAAATGCTGTAAACGTATAGTTGAAATATATTGCGATAAAGCATACTAAACGCGTAACAGCTCCTAATAAGATTGCGTCGCGTGACAATTACAGGTTGTGCTGTACAGTAATTACAGACTGCCAACGACCTACGGCCGCTGGCTTTAGCCCTAAAGATAAGAAGCCTGTAGGGCCTGTATAAGACTTTACGTGCGATTCACAACTTTGGATAACTACTAGACTAATAATATAACTAGAACACTACTTAAATCAATTTAATTGTACTGTATAATTGAATATCTGTACGGATGTTGCCTTCAAGGGAAATGTCCCACGCTAAAAATACCGCCCTTTTCGTAAATGGCCATACGCTGTAAGTACCTTATCCCCCGGAGCCTCATGCCTCTTTTAGTGTAAGGCATCAATGGCCGTAAAGATTCTTGCAGGGACATTGAGCAAATCAAGAAAAGTACTACTTGTTTTAAACCAATAAAAATCTGTTAGGCCATTGATGCCTTACACTAAAAGAGGCATGAGGCTCCGGGGGATAACTAAGCAATTCTTAGGCTATTCATGCTTTATGATACGCTATAATTATAGCGCGCTTCAGCACTGTGGCCGCCGTAGCATTCTATAGCGATTTCAATGTAACCGAGATAGCCGACTACAGTGGGTGGACATAAGTCTAAGCGAATTGATTTTTTACCGCAAAAATGGGCAATATTCATCTATTTTACATTTAATTATCTTTTTACTGGTAGCCTAAATCTTTTTGAAATTCTATGTAAATATATATAGTTTAACAAATTATTTAATATATCTGAATATCAAGTTCATTGAGGTGCTGAAAATGTTATAATAATTATTTAAAGTGTACACAAATCTTCTCTCATACAAAATTCGCGAAATTTATATAGAGGACCAACTTTGTCAGCTTTGACCTCTCATTACAATCTCTACAGCACCTCAGGATATACAGTTTTCAGATATGTCAAAGATCTTACTAAAATTTATAGATTTATGTAAAATTCAAAGAAAATTTAGGGTATCAGTAAAAAGATAATTACGTGCAAAGTGGATGAACTTTGGTCTAAAAAGGTTACTCGCTTAGACTTGTGTCCACATACTGTATTAATAAATTAAAATAAACGACATTGGTTATCAGCGCTCCTTTGGCGCAATGGCAGCGCGTAAGTTTTCTAACAAAACAGATTCAAAATTGCTCTTGGTAACTCATCTTCTTAGGCAAGACTTCTAATCTTGAGGCTGCGAGTTCGAGTCTCGCAAGGAGTGGACTTATAAAACTTTTTTTGCCCTTTGTCTAATATATTATACGAGTACTATGTCCTGGTTGCAGATCCCTCGTAGCTCCCTTGCAGCTAGGTAGTGGGCACTGACGATGAGAACAGGTAAGATAGCCATAATATTAATCTATAAGGAAAAGGTTTCATTCTACTTTCTGGAGGCAGAGATCGATTTTTATATTACCTTTTAGTTCTTAGATAGAATTTACTCTATTGATAAGGGGGGAGAAAAAGAAAAACTACTCCTTATACGACTTAAACTCATTGTCACGAACCAGCTAGGAACACGGAAGGCCTGAGGCTCGGCAGGCGAAGCCCTGCACAGAGAGCGGACCAGGGTCACATGACAGGGATCATTCGGATCATTGGGATCATTGCGAGGATCCAGAGGATCCAGATGATCCAAGGAAATTCATAGTCTATATAAGTTCATGTATTACCAAGTAAATAAGAGCCTCGTGCTCAACTTACAATACAGATTGTTACCCATACAATTGTAGTTACGATCATATACTATATTACACTGATCCCCGAGCTCTCACCGACCCCTCTACGACCTAGTATATACTTATACACTCTATAGGACCTAGGTAGAGACTTAGGTTCGTAACACTCATGCCTCAAATTTAGAGTCTAGTTAAGACTACTTAATCAGCTATTACGAATTATCGATTTAACAAGCTTCTGTATATTCAGCTATTTACCATTAATTCAACGATTATCATAATGTTCAAGGCCCTCGAGACTTAACACCTGTACGTGGTGAGGACTACGAACTTATAATATTCCCGAGGTAATATCTATAAAGTTAAGATTAAATCTGAATCAAATCGAATCAACGTTATACTTATATATTTTATCTTCTTTTCGACTTTATTCTTGATCATAATTACCTTATAATTTTTAATAATATAACTTTTTTGAAACGTTTTCAGAAAGAAAATATTATAAATTACTTAATTACCGAAAAAGAAAAGTTCAGAATATTTATTATTAAGTCTGTTTAGAAAACTTTTGATTATAGTCAAATTACTTAAGATTTGGTTTTAAAAGTTTTGAATACTTATTCACAGAAGGAAATTTTTTCTTATAAACTACTTTATGTAACGTTCCTACGTTGGGGTTTGGCTATTACTCAAATAATAGGCTTGAGAGGTCAAGGGAGCAAGTGAAACTTAGATTGTAGAACTTTTACTTTGAAATGCAGGTATGCTGTAAATCAATTGAGTTGAGCACGAGGCTCTTATCTACTGTAAAACTATCTACTTATATAGTATGTGTTGGTGACTGGATCCGCCTGGATCCCTATGGTCCTGGATCCAAGAGATCCCATCCGGTCCTAGATCCAAGGGATCCCATCCGGTCCTATTTGTCGCATGCTCGCTTATTTGCTAGTACTAGCTTTTTGCACGTACAAGTAAATAACTAGCACAAGCAGAAAGGTAGTACTATTCTCTCGATAATACTACCACCTAGTTAGTACAACCAAAGGGTTAGTACTATAACTTCGATAGTACTATCCTTTAGCTTGTACAACCCTTTTTTATAATACTAGTGTTGAACTGGTACTATCCTTTCGCTAATACTAGTAATGCGATAATACTAGCGACACCATAACCAGGTCCCTGATAGCCGTCTTAATTTATACTTATTTAACTGAGGCGACGGCTATAGGGGCCCTATACTCAGGTTACTTGTCACAACCCTGCGGGGTCGTGACACTTTAATTAACAAAAGAAGTTCATATAAAATAATTTTATAACTAAAGTATATACAAAAAATGTTTTCTTGAATATACAAAGTATTATAATATTGTAAGATCAGAGATCCAGGATTGTTTATTATAAAATCCTTTTTTCCTTTGTGGTTTTTAGTCTTATTATGAATAATATTTGTATATAATTCCTAAGTTTAACACATCTTAATATCCCCAGGGAGGTCAGGTCACCATGCCGCTAGACGTAAATAACTATAAATAAATAAATAAATCATAATGTTCAAGGTTTCTATAATTTATTTAATTATAATTAGTCCAAAACAAGAGGCGCTAAAGGTAGTCCAGGCCTACAGTATTGGCTGTACCGTATCGCCAACGCCCTCGGCTACAGGCCTAAGGCCCTGTAAGCGAAGCTCTGCAGCGCCTGAGCTCGCTGAGCCTGTAGCGCCTTATCGTCGGCTCGCTTAGCCGGCCTGTATTTCTAGTCATCTCCTCATGATCGGAGGATGTGAGTGTAAATATCTGAGACCTGAGTTCTAGTTTATTGTATTGTGTCATATAAGGGAACTTGTGATGTGTTTGTTTATGAAGCATTTGAAGGCAGTTTGTAGTCCTCTACAGCAAGATTTCCCTTGAGTGAATGCTTGAGTTTTCTCGCTTGAAAATTCGGTAATTACATAAAGATTAAAGACTAGTGGTCTCCGAGCTGGTGGTGATTAAGTCGACCGTATAAACGCTGTGATGTATTTAAGTATTCCCAATATTTAATGATTAATTGATGATTGTTGTGGCCAGAACATATGTAAAGTCTCCGAAACCAAGTCTCAAGGCTCGATCTGCTTTGCTGTACTCTGTTCTTATACACTTTATTTCCTAGAGACTTTGACAATTTCTTAACTTTCATATAACGCGTTTCCTCATTAGTTTTGTTAAGTAATTTCCAACATTCCTAACTACTGTTAAGAAAGGTTAGAAGTCATATGTTTACCATCACCTGACAACGTCAACAACTGTAGATTTCCCCACGCTTACCTTTATCCTATCGGGCTTCCCACAATGATAGCTCAGATGGATTGCGCTATTGGTAATAGAGGATATCATCTCTTTGGCAATCTATTCTTAGAGAGTCCTGAATGTTTCGTAGATGCTGTCAGCTTACGGCGACTTCGTGAGCTGGAATTAGCCTTTACAGCGTTCAGAGGTCATTAGAATTCACAGAAAGAATGGGATTACCATGAAAATTTTCGGTCAATGAGTAAGATGGAGATGGATACATGGAAAAGGCATGGAATTACTCGCTCGGAGGAATTTCTTATTCACCCCGAAGGCCCGCTGAATGCTCAACTCGCCTGTCACTTACACTGTCCATCTTTCTCAGTCAAAGACCCATATCGGAAGAATAGTATGGATACATCCAACCTCAGTATGGCTCAGCTCGCTGGAACAGGGGTCACAGCTGCTTCTTGCCTAATTTACGATCATTTGCATAGACGAGAAGCGCTCTCCGGTCTTGATTATTATCCACCTGACATTCTAGAGATCCATGAATCGTTTACAATGAATTTACGGGAAAAGATGTCTGCTGTCGTTGAGATTTGCTGGGGCAGCCGTGTTAAGCAGCGAATGGTTTAAAAGCTTCACCTCGAGCCTCTACCCCTTTGGGGTACTTATGAAGGTGTCACTCTATGGCTGGAGTGGGACTCTAGTAGGGCAAATCTCAAGCGCTTCGTTCTCTTTGTCATGCATCCTGAAGCTATGCTATATACGTCACGCCAAACTCAAGGAAAGCTACAAGATCGTCATTTAAGTGTAGCAGCTTCTTTGTGTGGCGTAGTTCTACACGAGCATTTCTATGAAAAGTTTCACATGCCTGGAACGTATGGGAGATTGACGGCTCGTGAGCGGTTAATACAAAAGTTACACAACGAGCAATTAAGGACGGTAGTACTCAGCTTAAGGATCTCCGCCAAAAAACCTAGATCCTTGAAAAGAGTAAGCCAGTCCATTAGTATGACAATGGCAAACCTGTCTTCTAGAGAGAAAATGGATGTAGTGGATATACCTGCTCATTCTCAAGAGACATCAAGCCAGTTTTCAAAGGAGACGGTGCTAGAAGAGACACCGTATATTCGCACAAGCCAAACATCTGATAGGCCTGTTGGTCAACGCGAAATTAACTTGGATAACTATGGAAATTTTGAGGTGGAAATATTCTCTTCTTCAAAACCATATCGAAATAATGACTAACTCATGCAGGTACCTTCAACTTCAACTGCCCATATTTCGCCTTCCGTCAAGAATGAATTTCGCACCATAGCGCTCCAAGGCCTGAAATACATGGCTTCCTGGTTGGCATTGTCGGGAATGAATGCAGATAATGCGATGCGATTATGTGTTGAAGGCGCGACAGGAGAACTCGACCTTTTCGAAACTCAAGTTTGGGACAATATTCCACTACCTCTGCGTTCTTGGCTTCAAGCTCAGGATGGGCTCAAGATTGATAGTGTTCCGATCACAGACATCAATGGGATACATGTTGCTTATACTTTGCTCTCTCGTAGTCCAGAAAGCTCGGAGGAAATCAGAGACGCCGGACCGTCGGAATCAATCATAAAGTTGGCTGTTCGATACTACTACTGCTATTATCAAAACCGGGAATGTAGTAGTAAGTTCAAAGACCTAATTATCGCAGGCACCGGAGCTCGGAAGACAATGCCTCGTAAATGTAGCAAATGTGGATCGAGACTTCTGGATGATGCTCTTGCTCGTTACAAGAAGCTCGACCCGACACACTATGTTACTAGAACTCAGTTTTCACGGGGTACTTGTGGAAACACAGCGTGTATACCAAGCAACACTGCTGTTTATGCCATTCCTTCCACAAATTCCTTTTGGGTACCTGCAGATTCACGTCGTTTACGTTGTCCCCCCAGAAAAGCGGAATGGACAAGTATTCTTCTTCGAAATGAAAATTTTGATGGCTTGCCTGCAACTGTCAAATTAAGATGTAGAAAATGCAACCAAGAGATGTACGAGGATATGTCGCCGCGCTGGACTATCGAAAAGTCGCCACGATATCTTATGCGAACACCTCGCTGCCCTCAATGTAGCTCTCATACAAGCCGAAATATCGGAAGTACAAAATGGGCACCTATTGATAAAGCTATTATAAGTATTGATGCAGCATTGCTTAGCAAAGTCTGGAAAAGGTTGCAACTCTTGCCCGTTAATTTGGAGGATCTGAAACAAAACCCTGAGCATTACTTTCCATC